AAAAGGAATTGTAATTTAATTACTTTCTGGCGCCAGTAACTGCAAAATTTCAGGCACGATTACAATTATTTTTGCAAAACTTTGCGGCGCCAACGGAAGCTTCCTGAAAGCCTCAGCGCTTGCATAAGGGGCGTAGCTCTCGGTGAAAAACTCGCATGAAAACACACATTCGCACACACGCAAAACATAAATAATGTCGCATTGTTTTTGTATTGTTGCTTTCACTGCGGGCTGAGAAACAATCCTCTTTGGAGCCTACCTTAAAGGCGCTGTGTAGCGCCGTCTGTTGTGCGAGCACAAAACAATAGCGTAAATATGCCAAAATATTGAAAAAAAAAATTGAGCTTCAGTTTTTAGCCAAGGTTGGGAATTTTAATTGCCAATAAAGTTACTTTTCTTTATTTTTTGCCAGTTTTTTTACGTCCCTCTTCCGGTACTGTCGCATATTTGAATCTTTGTATTATTTTCAAGTTCATTTCCTGTTTGTGTTACTTTGGATATTATTTGCGTAAGCGTTTTGGAGACTGACCTCACACCTGTGAATATTGTTACCAATGATTCGGAAGTCCCGATTCGGTTCTTATATATTTCTGAGCCATTATAATTTCAACTCGATGTAAATAATTTACAATACCATAATGTTTGTATGGCAGGGATGGGCAGTATTTCAAATACAAGTATTTTAAATACGTATTTCAAATACTTTGTGTATTTTGCATTTACATTTAATTAAAAATTGGGTAGTGTATTAGACGTGTGTATTTAAATACTAAAACGTGGTTATTTCAAATACAATTGTAATTAAATACAATTTTGTGGGCGAAAATACATCCCTCAAATTTATTGTCACGACTCATTTTGCTCATCCTAAGACGTGTCCAGAGCAGGAAGAAAACTACGTTCTGCACCGAATGCAGTGTCCCTCAATCAAGCGTTTATACTCCAGGGCAAGAATAGTGACGAAATCGACGTTCACAGGCAGACTGGCTAAATAAGTGCCTGTGACAACTTGTGATGCTTTCCAGCCTGATTTCCGTCCATATTTTTGCCTGGAACATTCTAAATGCGCGGGTCGTCCAGATTTTCGTAACTGGTGCGAGTTGCAACAATAAAAAATTCTCTAGCTAGTGCTGGGCGTCTTGGTCGTCTCGGTTCTTTGTTGGTTTATATATACCAAAATGTAATCGACAAAAAAAAAAGCTACTTGAAGCTCTGTACTTTTTTCACCTATTACGTCCAAGCTGATTACATTTTTTTTTGTGATTATATTTCTATTACGTTACTAGTGCCTCGCACACTAACTCCCGAGTGTGCGATGCAAAATTAAAATGAGATACCCAGAAACCCGTTGCAGGTGCCCTGAAGTCGCTGATGCAAATTTTGAGGAATGTATTTGGAAAAGTATTTGGAGGAGACCAAATATGTTTGGTTGTATTTGTATCTTTTACTTAAATGCTTTTTTGGAAATGTAATTAGATTTGTAATTAAATACATTTTTGACGAAGTATTTTGTATTTGTATTTCGATACATATTGGCATGTATTTTGCCCATCCCTGTTGTATGGTAATGCGGTCGTATTAGAGCATGTGGATTTTAATTTTATATCGACACTTCCCAAATATTTATATATGACTAATTGTCGCAATTTTTATTTTCCTGGGAAACAAAAGTCTGTCAACCCAGTTTTTTCTTTAGCAATCTGGCGTCTTCCAGCAAATGAACTACTTGATTATTATTTATTAAAAATATAAGAACGTCGTACTTCATTGCCCCAAACTGTCAAGTTATATCATGAAGTTAACAAAATTCATGAAAGGAATAAAATATATAACACGTGGCATTTATGCAGCGATGCTTGAGCCTTCTCAAATATTGGGGCAAGGAATGAACAAATATGTTTCATTCTATACAACTCGTTTAGTTATATGGCCCAAGTCGTGTCGCTGTCAGAAATAAGTAATTGTAAAGTAATTGCATTACTTTTTAAAATTAATTTGTAATTGTAATTAATTACTCTTCGCAGGGTAGTAGTTGTAATTGTAGTTGAACTACTTTTGAAGCAAAGTAATTGCGATTGTAAATAAATTACATTTTGAAAGTAATTTACCCATGTATGATGCAGACCATACTAGGCGAGGTTCAATTTCTTTGTTGTGCTGCGTTGGTAAACACCGAACTGTGTGGACAACAAGCTCGATAAAGCACCCCTATAGTTCGATCTCCTGCCCAATGGGGGGTGTCGGTTGAAACCAGACTCCCTTGGTTCTACAACGTTTCGCTCCATTTGCTCCGAGCTGCGGTGTGCTAACTCACTCGGTTACCGATCCCGTAAACACCCTATTAAAGTGAAAATGCGAAATAGCGGCGATGTCTTGTACGCGCCAACAGTGCCGCGCAGTGTACTGCATTATAACAGCCCTGTGTTACTAAATATACATCGTTTCATCGTAACGTTACGTTCACAAAATAAACTTTTTTTTTTTTTTTTTTTTTTTTTTCAGTAACGAGCGTCGTTTGTGGAATAGTCTTCGAACTACAAACAAAGGGCAGCCCAACTTGCCTCCGCCCGTCAGAATACGTTGACATCGTGCTGTTGTGTTGATCTTCCTTGCTTTTTACGAAGGCGAAGTATGCGGAAACCGATCTTTTCTCAAGGGCGATTCCCACACACTTGCGTTGAGTCAGACGGAGTGCGAGGGTTGCTAAGGCAACTGCTGCGTCGGCTCCAATAAAACCGGTTTTTACCCCGTTTTGTTCGAGCCGACGCAGCTGTTTCCATAGCAACCATCGCACTCGGACTAGTATGATAGAGTACGGTCACGTGTCTCCCTCCGACGCGCTGATTGGCTCGCTGGAACCGTAGCCTTCGCCGTTCACCAAGTGACGGTTACAAAGGAAAACAAAAATACAGATTAGACAAAACAAAAAAAGAGAAGTTCGTCTTTCTGTTTTAAGCTTCGGCGTGGTGGCCGCTAGGCGCGGGTCGGAGATCTGCGGACGATGACGTCATGCGTGGGCCTTGCATTCGAGTTGAAATTGGCCAAACTCTGCGTCGCGATGCGGTAGGAAATGTGGACGTTCGTCATCAGTTGCACCTCCTGTGCACCCCCAGCTGCGCACTATACGCAGGATAGCGGTAAAAGGAAGCCACGAGCAGAAACGCGCGAAATGAAGAGCTTGCGCACGGTTTGCTCCCGTTCAGGCAGCAAATAATAACAATATTAATAATACAAAAGAAACAGCTGGATGTATTCTTGTAATTCTTCATCCCTTTATGTCTGTATATACCCGTTACGATAACACGCGCGCGTTGCGACAAAGCGCTGCCGCTCGCCAGGTCTACACATATGAGGTGATTGGTTTTAAACGGATTTTTTTTTTAAATATAAATATAAACCGTGAAAGGACAACTAATGCGGTATGTTCATGTGAGTTATACAGCCAGTGAATCACAGCGCGGAAGGGCTAATCGCCACGAAATGTCGGATAATTACTCAAACTTGTTCATTATTTCTCTTTTTTTTTTCTACGGAATGGAAAACTTTAATGGTTCCAATTAAACACTTTCCGAGCGCGCGCCGTCGAAAACCTCTAAATCAGTCAAGTTTAGAATTTTTCTAAAGTTACCACTCATGCGACGGGCGAAAGGTTAGCGGTACAAAACTGAGGATACGATTAACATCCTCGTCTTCGCACGATCAACTTTGTGCCTCTTTCACGTGCTTTCCATGTGCTTTAAGTCGTTCTAAAGATTACTAATCTAGCGGTTTTCGACGTTGTTCGGCCAGTTTGTTGTTATAACCATGCGATTATTTTCAGTAAGTGAAAAGTTAATTGACACATTTTAGTTAATTATCCGACATATCATGACAATTATCCCCCTTATTACGTCCGCTTAGCCGTTTATAACTCACCTAGACAAACCGCGTTAATAGACCCTGCGCGTTTTATATATATATATTTGTGTTAAAGAAATATTACACACCCTGCATATCATGTATATCGAGTCAACGTCAGACTCTAATAAAGCCGAGAAGAGAAAGGGGCACCCTTTGGAGGTATAGCATCTGCCGAGCGGATTTGCCTAGCCGTGACGTCACGAGTTATAAGCCTGGTTACGCATCGTCGCTAATTAGGTGGTGCGTGTAAAAATAGACGCCGGAAGCGTCGGAGTCATTGCGCTCTGTCAAAGTTGACAGTCTGACGTTGCTCTTATTAATCCAACAAAAGACGTCATAGCCAGGGTTCGGCGAATCGCGAAGTCCCGACCACAGCGACGCCACCGGTCGTTTACGTCGCTCTTGACAACATATTATATTGTACTCGCCAACTGGAGAAGTGTCGGGCAGTCTCCTGGGCCAGTTTGGAAGAACGCCCGTACGTATTATTTTCCCCACTTTTATTTCGAACAGGTGGCGGCGACAGACGTATAAAAGATGCGTTGATAACGTTCGTGTGCCTTTTAATGGAATCCGGAGACAAAACGTGTATTGACTACCGAGAATAAGTTGATTCCCAAAGTGAAATTGTAAGCGTTAGGATCGTAATAACATTTTGCAATATCGCAACGTTTTTTTTTTCGTTTTTTTAAAATTATTATTCTTATATAATATTAACATATTCATTTGCACTTTTCAAGTTTCAGTTAGATCATGAATCCACTGCTGTTGTATATTGTTTGCATGCACATCCAGGCACGCAGCAGCATTGGCTTGCACATACGAAGAACGTCTTTGACGCTTTTTACTGTTGACCAGGACCATTATATAGACCGTTCCAATATTCGCATTCTGCGCGCAGCCAACTTTGTTCACTGGGTTGTGGAACAAGGTCGAAAGCATGCGCGGTAAGTATATCAGGCGCCGAGCATTTGCCCTTGAGCACAGTGACTCAACATTTTTCGCCCTGGGGATGATCGATGGGACGTTGTATATTTCTTGAACTTTTTTTTTTCTTTGATGACCGTTATCTTAACCATCACATATCTCAATCGTCGCAGGTCGATGATGCACTGACTACGTAGGATACCGAAACCTCATACTCATACATCCAGCAAGCCAACGCGAGCAGTTCATCCCAAGCAAGCTTCTACTTCAAGGTACGGGGGAAACATTGAACCATGGAGGTTCAAGCGGCACAGATCGTGGCTCCCCTGCTGCTCCTCTTCGGCACCTTCTTTCTCGGTGTCCTGCCGATCTGGCTTGTGAAGCGTCTCAGCTCCATCCAGCGAGGCGCTCAAGGGCTGTCCTTCCTGGTGTGCATCGGAGGAGGTGTCCTCTTCGCCACCAGCTTCCTGCATCTTCTCCCTGAGGTTCGAGAAGGATTCGAGAACCTGGACACAGAGTTCCCGGTCACGGAGGGCGTCGTCTGCTTGGGGTTTCTTGCCGTGTACGCGCTAGAAGAACTCATCCACGCGTGCTTGGGCCACAGTCACAGCTCGACGAGTCATGGTCATGCTCATTCTCCAGCTGTCATGGAATGGTGAGATGACCTGTCTTCTTGTGAGCTCGTGCGGCGTGATCATTGGTCGTACATGCTGCAGTGCAGCGCCGTGGCAGTCTCTGACAGTTGTGTTTAGAGCGTCCTCCAGGGGGGTCTCTCTCGATGTATGCCTGATGACCTGTAGACGTGTCATTAATCCTATTGCTTGCTACGATCCTGGTGGTAGCACAACTGCGGAGGTTTATGTACGGAGGTTATAGACACCTGTTTTGATGAAGGCCGCTTTAACAAATTCAGGAGTTGGGAGGCAGAGCCCACGGCCAGGATCGCGACATCCGACAGCATGACGCACCGGTTCCTGTGACGCAATTTGTTGCCACTTTGGGACCACTTCCGGTACATGGGCGGGACGGGAAGACATATATGCAACAGTCGAAGACGCGTTCCAACTTCGCCGCAAGTTGGAGACTTTTTTGACTCAGACGATTAGATTACTGAGCATTAAAATAGTACAGTGGACGTTGTGATTGCCTGAAGCCGAGCAGGTTAATTATTCATACTTGTAGATACGCCAGCTGAACGGAGGAAGAAAAATGCAAAACAGAGAGTCGCAAGGAACATACACACACACTCCGCTGGTGCGTGTGTATGTTCCTTGCGGAGTGCGTGTGTATGTTCCTTGCGACTCTCTGTTTTGCATTTTTCTTCCTCCGTTCAGTTGGCGTATATACAAGTACGGTGGACCCTTTGGTGCTCCTTGGCGAAACAGCAATCGCTCGGTAAGAGGGTTGCATTTAGTTTCAGTACAGTGACCTAGAATGGGGTTGTGACAAAACAAGTTGGTGACCTAGTTGGTTGAACATTTTTATTTTAATTAATAGATCATTAAAACGTTAGTTAAAAGTAGCGTTTGTCTTGTTCTGTCCTCCCTTGTCCTTTTCTTTCCCGCTAATATTTTATAATGGGGTAGTGGGCTCACCGGGCCCACTTGCTGAGGCAGTTCATGTCTAAATTGAGAGATGGCGCTCTGCTCGACTCCTCCTGAAGCTTTCCCGCGCGCTTCTGCGATCACGTGCTTATCAGCGTGAGTGTGGGTCCGTGTTTTCTTCGTCAGATAGCTGGGAAGATTCGGAAGAATCGGAGGAACCACGTCGGCCGAAAGCATTGCTAAAGTGTACTAGAATAGGCTATACAGTCTAACATTGGTCTGCCACACTGAACGCGTACCTCTGCACCGTTGATGACGTGCACGCAATCTCTAATTACGTACTGTAGTTCAAAATGTAATTCGCGCACAGCAGAGGTCTCATCCAACGTCTTGTCTGCTCGATGCAAGTTCTTTATCCCACCGTTTTCACCACTCCTCGTTTTAGGGAACACCGAACAAAGACACCTTTGGCGCGTCCCTCACGCAAGCGTATCCTGTTCTACAGTCTGGCGCAAAACACTCGTTTCGCCGGCGATTAGGCCTTATTGCGTTTGAGTCGAAGAACAAAACCGCAAGAGAACAGTATTTACAGCAACCTCACGGCAAATGCACGCAGACGAGCACACGCGAACTGCAGTCACTCACTCATCGCCAATACCGAAGCCGAATGCAAACAAAAGCGGCCGCAGGACGCTTCAGGATGGACGAATGGATGGCGTAGGGAGCCTTCATGTGCGCTCTGCTAGGGTGATGCCACCCTTTGTAATACCACTCGCCGACAAACCAGCGGCCATTTTGGTTCTCGGTGATAATCCGTGGGGCTTATAACCCTCCCAGAAACAAGCACCTTATCTCACAAGTTCGGAGCAGCATTGTGGAACCCACGGAGGGAGGTTTAGCATTTTTTTCCTCGGATGGGAGGACCGATGGACATAAAGGCCACTTTTCGGCGCATGGGGAAACAATGAGAGGAACAAAATGGCGGTGGAAGAGGGTGTGGGAAAGGGAAACAGGCAGTTGGCATCACTCTATGCGAAGCGCGCATGAAGGCACCCTAGGATGGCGGCTATTCCTTTTGAATTGGGTGGTGACAGGAGGAGTTGACATCAGTGTCTCCGTCGGCCTCCTTGACAACCGACATGGGCCGCCTCAACTCGAAGCATGAGCGAGAGAGGGCGGTGAACTCACTACAGTGCCGCCAACCTTAGGGATTTGTCCCTGTATCGAGGGATTTCCGTCATCGTTTAGGGGCAAAAGGAAATTTGTTCAAATCTAGGGATTGTTTTTTAATGGCTTTCAGAGGGCTTTAGAGACACGTTCCTTCCCCTTTTCCTCCTCGTGCGGCTGAGCGCAGAAGGAAGAAGGCTTCTTTGTATATTGTCGGTGCCAGACAACAATAATATAACAATTTTGAATTATGTAAAAAAAGGTTTTTAGCGAACCGCCCAACTACAGGAATCTGGAATACATTTTAGCGCTCAAAAAACAGGGACAAAGAGGCGAGAAACAGACAGCACAGTGCGCTTTTTTTTGAGCGCTAAGATGTATTCCAAATTCCAAAACCAACTAGCCCAACAATCGACTCTACAGGAATCTATTCTTAGTCTACTAGCCCTTAACGATAATCTCATTATTGATTCAAATTAACAGTTTCTGACAATCTGAAAATCTAGAGAATTTTTCGATAGAAATCGGTGAAGAAACGACCGCTGAGGTTGGCAACACTGGCTCACTATCCCGTTCTAGGCCACTGTAGTTTCAGCATAATTTGGCGAGGGGCGAACGATAGTCTCCCGTGTGCCAAATAGAGCGGCAGAGCAATTGGCACGTGATAGCTGTCCACGTGGGAAGAGCACTCTGGTGGTACGTTGTCACGCGCCTTGTTCCGATGCTCCGATTGGCTCGATGGGGCAGTAGTACTCGCCGTTTGCCACGTTATGCAGAGACGGAGTCTGCCTATACCTATCGCTTGGTATGGGCTGTATCCCCACGACGAAGTGGCAGCGGGAATTTAAAGTACTTCCGGATAGATGGAGTTGTCGCACCTGCGCTGTGTCACTCTTTATGTACCATCATATAGCACACCTGCAACAAAAGCAAATCGAGTACGGGTATCCGCCTAGGGACAGTTCTTTTGAAACCACACACCGTAAAAAATAACTGTTGGAAAAGAAAGCTTGGCAGCTCTTTCGCCATAAATTATCTGTTTCCGTGTGTTTATCTGTTTCCGTAATTTTTGTTACAACTAACCTTTCGGTTCTCGTCCTTGCTGTAAAATTACTGCAGCGTAGTAGGAAAACAATTTCCGTTCTAAAAAAAAATTTTTTTTTTAATCGGGTTTTTGCTTTGGACGTTTGTGAAAGAAAAAAAAAATCAGTCTGGTTTTTTACGAGGAAAGTTTTACAACGATAAATACCCGCGCACTCCCATTGAATCTGTTAATGCACATAAGAGCGAGAAGATACAATGCAGTGCACTGACATATACACAGAGAACGACCCACAAATAACAGCAACACAACCAACGAACAAATCACGCACCTCCTCTTCGAATGCATGTGTTCGACCGATCGCTATATGTGGCAATCTTATTTTTGAATTTGATCCTTGGCCTGTTACTGTGGCACTTGCCGCATAACCATGTAGAGGCTAATCAAATATTACTCCTACACAAAGATTTTTTTTTTTTTTTTAATTTCCGATTACATAGTTTATATATCTTAATCTAGTGCATTTTGAAAAGTCAACAGTAGAATAATTAACTAAAATTGTTCTTTTGTGTCCTCCTGTCATGGGGTTTAGTTGCTTCTGGTGATTGTAGTGACGGCGCTGGAGTCGTGGTACATAAGGCGTGTACCAACTGAACTTTACAGCTGCGTTTGAGACGTTGCCTGTTCTTTTTTTTTTTTTTGTCTTCCTTTGCGTTTTCCTTTTCCCACACAAGTCTCAGGTTTACAATCCTATTAAAATCCATTAAATAACTTTTGATATTGATTTGCTGAATCCTGTTAAAAATTCAGTATCGGCGCTTATTTCTATGGGAGATTATACAAATTGTTAGATTTTAGTCAAGTATCCAATTACCGCGACGATTATTTTCCCATCTAACGTCCTGCGAGCTCCAAAAGACACAGTGAAGAAACGGCACTCATGTACCAGCCATACCGCCTTTTAACTAAAATGCGTTCAATTTAAAGTCAAAGTAACCGTATAGATAGCCGTAACACGCTCTGCCGGAGAACTGAAGCGGGGTACGAATACACCACAAAAATAGAGATCTCTCACAGTTTTGTATGTGGCTAAATTGTTTCTCGTCTTAACCTCCCTTTTTTATTGCAACGAAGCTTTGGGGTCTGGGCATTTCCACTACTTATGCGAGCCTTTTCTATCTTCCCTTTGAAATTTGAAACTTTCAAAGGAAAGATAGTCACGTATCGCAGCTATGGCTCCGACAGTACTCAGGATTAATTAACGCAGGACTGCTCAATTTGTATGTACTGTACCTTGTATTGCGAACACATTCCGTCATCAAATAATTTATTTTAACTATTCGTTCACTGATTTAATGATCATCCGTCTTGCAGGAATGAAAAAAGTCCTATTTCTTTTTTTTTTTTGTCACGATAATTCGATTTTGTTTACCTTGCTTATTCACCAAAAATGTTTGGGATATGGGAATAACACAAGTTCTCTTTTCTAACAGATAACGGGACGTTTCGTAGAGTGTTTATTTAAGAAAAAAGGACGTCCTTTTTGCTGTTTCCATACACCTCCAGCCTAACTGTCTTACTGCGCTCATTGCGCCTGCTAAGTACAAGAGGTAAGCGCGAAACACAAAACGACTGAGGGATGTACGACACATCGGAAAGATTGCCGAATCGTGATCTAAATTCCAAGTGCGTAAGGTGGCTTGTGAATAAAATAAGTATAGTCTTTACTTTCGTATGCGCGTTTATAAATATTTAGTCACCGACGATCTTGATGGCCATTGCAAAATCACCTAGGCTGACTTCTACCGGATTCGGCAGTCTTTTTAAAAGCCCTGACGTTTTGTTTCGCATGCGTCTGGGCTTTAGTTACCAATACGCCGGGCGATTAGCGGCCACAAGTGCATAAATTGGGAAAGCTGATGAAACAAAAAGAGAACGAGTAGTGTCTGAAACTGATGTGAAACGGTACTGTACATAACTAAAGTCAGCCGTGCTTTTCCATGCCTGCAGCCACGACCACAGGGAACAGTCGCACCAGGACGGGGCACACGACAACCTCAACAACGGACAAGTCAGGCCCTACGGCACGGACACGTCCCCAACCAGCGTCGCAGCCGACGAACCTCTACACGACGTCACCATCGCCGGCATCCTCATTGTAGCTGCCCTGTCCTTCCACTCCCTGTTCGAAGGACTGTCCTTGGGACTTCAGGAGAGCGAACAGTCCACGTGGATTATGTTCCTCGCCATCGCAATCCACAAGTACGTTATATCCTTCGTCGTCGGGTTCGACTTGAGTGCCAGCCGAGTGCGGCCCCGAAACGTCGTCATCTACATGGGAGTGTTCTCCGTCATGTCGCCCATCGGCGCCCTTGTGGGCGCCATCACGAGGCATAACCTGGAAGGGTCGACGGTGGTGGCCGCGCTCAACGGAATTGCCACGGGCACCCTTATCTACGTCACGTTCTTCGAGGTATTGCAACGACAGAAGAACGTTAAGCTACACGGGTTGTTGCAGCTGCTAGCCGTCGGCCTGGGATTTGGAGTTATGCTGATCTTGATCGCAGTTCTGCCTCATGACTGAAATCTTCGGTTCCCATAGAACTGAGCGTTGTGATAATCACGTTCACCATGCTAAATGTCTCTGCTGCAAGTGTATAAGAGAGCGCTTGCAACGGACCTGAACATGATTGATGATCATGATGTTCGTGATAGACATTATCGTGATTAGTGAGTGGTCACATAGGCTTTGGCCTCACGATAATGTTTTTTTGCATTACTCAGACCGTCACATGAATGCTAACCGAGTTCCCGAGTAAGGAATGTCGATGGCAATGTTACACAAACGTGGGGATCTTCATTTCTGGGACCATCGACTAGTCGGTCGTATGTCAGAGATCCAGATAATGCTTTGAAATGTGCGAACTAATAATTCAATCACTCTGGTTTGTATGTCATAGTTACCCGAAGGCAGCGTAGAATTTCAAACTCAGTCTATACCAAGGAACATCGTTAGAAGTTTTATTTCTAGAATATTGCTATCGGTACTTGAAACCACTGATATCAGCGTCACAATACCTTTTAGTCAATGTGATTTCAAACGCATAGAGATATCGAATGACTTCAACGGTAAGTACTGTACTGTGGAAGCGGTCTTCTAGGTCTTCGGTCGCCAGAATTACTGTGATGATAATGCATTTGGTGGCGTTATTCTTGAGCCTTAGATATCTACCTGTTGACCACGATCCTGGCCCCATCCCTGTAGACCTTGTCGCCATACTTAAGTTTATCATCCCTGCATAGCCTGACAATGTTATTCGCTCGCTGCAAACACCAGAAGGTTGCTGACTGACACGATGTATATAACGACCGCTCTGTCTGCTGCGGATAAAACTGACATCCCAGCTCTGCTGGTGTACCCCTGGCTCTGTGTTTTTATCGCTTGTCCTCTTTCACTGCCGTATTTTTTACGGTCTCTACAACATTCAGCAGCAGGTTGTCGCGGGCCTTTTACTGACAGGGCATTTCGAGAAAGGCGACGTGAGAAATACAAAAGCTTCCGCGGTGGTGCAATGGTGCAAGATGACATCAACATTGTGTGAACTAGGTTTTTATAATGTTTCAGTTCTACTCCTAGAGATCGTTGGTTGCAGTATACAAAGATCGTATATAGCTTAGATAATCCGTCAAATGCTATGAAAGTACAATAGCACTTGTTAGGCTTTTCTTTTTTTTTTTTTTTGACGAACAGCACTTTGAAATGCTTGTACGCCTACTAAGTTTTTTCTACTAATACGCAGTTCCTGCTAATAGCTGCTGCGTCAATTATTTGAGCCTGCCATTGTTTGGGCACGGACTCTGAGCATGTTACTGGACACGAGTGGTTACGTCAGTGTTCGGCGAAGACTCGGATTCAGTCACGCGCTTCGATCGTGTCCAAGCAATGGCGACCGCCAATGTTGCTTGACGGACTTTTAAAAAGAATCTATTAAAATACATTTTTTTTTTTTTTTTAGTTTATAGAGTATGATTGTTCTTTTTTTTTTTTTTTTTCTTAAAGGGCAGTTATTTTATCTAACATTTACGTTCGAGACGTTGTTCCTTCTCGATGAATGCATGTACTGTTGCGTTATATGTATACTCGTTTTCACCTCAAGAAAAAAAAAAGAATAAGAAAAGGTTTGCCCATTATTTATACGCCGGGCGAAGTACAATAGTTAGTTGTTGAAGAAAGAAGTGGATGTTTTTGGCGTTTGAAACATGTGAGTCTTGATAAGATAGCATATGTGTAAACTAAAATGCGCCCACATATATCTTCATTCTCAAAATAAAGCCCAAAATCGGTAGTGATCCGTGAAAAGCCAGACTTTTTTTTTTTTTTGCTGCGGTTTTTGAGGTTAAAACGAGTTATGCAGAGGGATATTTCAGTCCTAAACGTGACTTCTAGCTGGCACCTGCTGCTAACGACAACAAAAACAAAATCGTGTTTGACGTTGCGTTAATTAAAATTGTCGAGAACAAACAGCTGCTCGCTTGAGGAGAGACTTCTAGGCTGTAAACAGGGGGATAAAAGGGAGCCTCTGCGCATGCTCAGAACGCGTTCCACAGCACAGTAGACAAAGATGGCAGCGCCCAGAAGGCGGTTATTGGAATCAAGAGGGTAAAGACGGGAGCAGAAGGTGGCGACCCCTGGACGCTGACATCGGCGGCCCCGAGAGAAAGAACGAGAAAGTGAACGACAGAAGAGCCGAGAATGAAAGCAGAGGAAAGGGTATGGCGTGTTCCTTTTTGCCGAGTCGAGCTGAAGGTGCTCGAGCGCTTCTCAAACTGCATTCAGTTTTATTATGGTGCCTCGATTGCGTCTTCGACTGGTGTGTTTACCGCCCTATCCCGCCCATACATCAAAAGTGGTCCCGATGTGGCAACAAATGACGCAAATGTCATGCTGTTGCCTGTCGCGATCCTGGTGGTTGGCCGTAGAAATGCTGGCGAAAAGCACGAGCGAACGCGAGTGTTGCTGTCGTCACGGAGTCCCTTTAGGCGTCCCAACTCCGGCTGCTCTAGCTTCCGTGAACTGTCACAGTGGAAAGCGACCTGCAGAAGAACAGGCGTCTGCCACTTATACCACAACTGTTGGGACGCCGCCAGGGTCGCGAACGGCGACAGCATGACACTTTTATGACGTCATCAGGCGGAAATCGAGGGACCACTTTTTTGGCCGCGGTAAACACACCAGTCGGAGACGCGTTCCAGGCACCATAGTTTTATGCGGAGCGCAAGTTCGTCTGCTTCTTTTGCTGGAGCTGTGGTGACGTCAGAACGCCGAGCTCTGATTGGCTTTGCTTGAAAGGATAGAGGGTACACCTCAATGCTAGATGCCTTAAGGTCTACCCACTATATTCTTCAATCAGCCAATCAGAGCTCGGCATTCTGGAGCCACCACACCCTCTGCAAAAGAAGCAGACGAACTTGTGTTCCGCATACAGTGCGTGAGTTTGGTGTTTCCCTGCAAAGTAGGCTAGAAAAGAACAAGGTACTGACCGTATACAGGTGATATGTTGCAGCTTCTTTGTGCATATTAATGCGTCGCCAGCGATGTGGGCCCATCGGGGACTGGGTCTGCCGATGTCCGCGTCATATGCCCCGTCGTTCCCAAGTGGCCCCAATGCATAGGACCTGTCCCCAGGGCCGTACCCAGAAAGAAATTTCGGGGGGGGGGGGGGGGGGGGGTTCGGGGACAACGGCGGCCATTTTGAAATTGTCTATTGTCTTATTTTCGCCTATGAATCATGTGCATCGGTGGCATATAATGGAGAGTTGCAGCAAACCTGAGAACCGGTCCCGGTTTGGTACCCGGTAGCCGACCGGCGCCACTTCGCGTGCGCAGAGGTGGAGATTAAAATCAGCTGGCTGCAAGTGCACCGACCAGGGCCGTACCCAGAAAAAAATTTCGGGGGGGGGGGGGGGGGGTCAGAACCCCCTAACCCCCCCCCCCCCCTCCCTTGGTTACGGCCCTGCCTGTCCCCTCCAGATTACTATATTAACTTTTTGATTGGAATGGTCAACAAGAGCACATACGGCAGGTCTGTTTTAAAGGGGTAGGGAAACGAAATTCCATCGCTCATTTTTTTTATTTTTAATATGTTGCATGTTGCCGCATAACCTCAAAAATAGCAGTCTTTCGTTAAAAGGCACAAGCCAACTAATTTTAAAGATAATTAAACGACCTTTCAATGTGCACCTGGTGGATGCATGTGGAGCCTATTTGGGAGGTAATCTAGCAACGCTGGGGAACTTGCTACGTAGTCATGACGTAGCAAGCTCCATCGGAGCAGCGCCGCTCTTTGGCACTTCAACATTTTCCTTCTTAGCTTTCCTCCCGCGCATTGTACCTAACAGTCCAAGAAGACAGAAAGAAGGGACTCCCCTCTTTCTTGGACCCTCGTTTGTGCATCCGGATACAGCCCCCCCCCCCCCCCCCCCCCTAGAAGATCAGCCCGTCGCTCAAAACTCGGACAAAAGTTGCTTTCCCCACCCCGTTCAGCCCTAACCTGACAGTGTTGTGGAAGCTACGCTCTCCTTGTGCCAGCCACATGCTCGTCACCCCAGGGGTACTTCGAACGGCTCGGTTGTAACGCGTTGACCATAACGCTGACAACGCAACAGGGGCAAAGCTCATAACCACGCCAGAACTGCCACGTCACGAATGCGGGGAATCTTTTCTTTCTGTTTTTGTTTGTGCCGGATATCCCATGACGCATCGCACTCTCCGTTCGCTCCTCTCCGAGCGCTTGCTCGAATGCACCGTTTGGAAGGAAAATAGATCAAGTCGTTCAAAATACAAACGTGCGATTATCATTTACGGATATTATCCGTCATGCGTGACTCATTTCCGAATGAAATTTGAATATTTCAATTTTCATTTCCGTACCCCTTTAAAGCATAAAATGCTTTTTAACGGAACGGATTTTGTTCACCTGTCACTCCGTGCATTTCCCGCTAAATTTAACGGAGAAATTGACGTCATGTGACCTATACACCAATTCAGTTTCTCCGCTAATTTTGGTGGGAAACTTGATGTCACGTTATGTGATGTCACGGGGCCTTTTACACCAACTTAGTTTCCCGCTAAATTTGGCGGAAAAATTTACATTACGTGACATTACGTGGAGCCCGTAGCCTTGAGCCACTAACAACGCAGTCCCCTTTGCTCCGTTTCACGATAACTCGGCGAACTTTGGAGGCTGCAACGCCCCGACTCACTAAGGGCGTCGGAGCCTGGCTCGTGACGTGACAACACACAACACTCCATGGTCGAAGTCGCGGAGGTCTCGTTTTCGCGCCAGCAACAGCGCCGTCCGCGACAAAAAGTAGTTCTAGGCTTCTTTTTCTTTTAACTAGAACTGAACTCACGCGATTGCATCTCTACTGACGGCTACACGACTCATTGTGACACCTTTGGCGACGTTTTCAACACCGGACGCTCAGTTCCATCACGTGCATGTTGACATTGTAGGACTTCTACCACCATGTCAAGGTCAGTAGTACCTATTAACATGCGTCGACCGCTTCGCACGTTGGGTGGAGGCAGTTCCCATCGCAGACATAACCGCACAACCACTGGATCTCTCGCTTTGGTGTACCTTCCACCATTACAACTGACAAAGGCAGCCAATTAGTATCCGCCCTGTTCACTGTTTTTACTCAGCTCGTCGGACAACTGCTATAATGACATCTGGAAATGACGAATTCGAAACTACGTCATCTTTTTCAAGAAACGTATTCCACCTAGTGGCGTGGTTCACTAGCAACGAAATTTTTATAAACGTCGATAACACAAAACTAATGTGCTTTCATAACCCGCACAAAATTATGAAACTTTTGGCCTCCTGTGTCCTTTACGTATCCACTTGAAAAAACTGCAGGTGCGCACCGGTAGAATACGTGTCACCTACAAGGTATCTGGGTGTGCTTCTCGATGAACATCGGTCATGGGGAGCGCATGTGGACAACCTGGCGAGTCGCTTACGAATGGTATCTGCTTATATCTTCCGCCTTCATTTTCTGACCGATGCGCGTACTAGATATGACATATCAGGCACTGGGGGAGTCTATACTACGATAAGGAATAATGTTAACCATGTTGAGTAAACCTAAGACTGGGGCAGAAATGAACATATAAGTCGAGGGAACAGAGAAGGACAGGACGACGTTTCAAACGGTTTACGGTTTCTGCTCGTATTATGAGAAAAGAAAACTAGATATTATTCCCCGAAACATAGCAGGAAACATTGCGTATGAAACTAAATTTGCTGAACTCGAAGCTGGCCTTAAGATTCGATCGCTACGGATCTTGTCAGTTGAAAATTGTATATCTATATTATATTAGTACACAACAATTACTACAAATAAACATTT